AACCTTGTCAATTATTTTACACCATTGGGTAACTGTATTCTGATACCTTAACCCACTATTATACACTACTCGCTTTCTATTATGATCCAAAGAAATGTTAATAGAAATAACGATATATGATGAACCGTTCAAAAAAAAATCTTTAGTGAACGTATGATAGAGCCTAAGATGTGTCCATAAAGATCTACTTATTCCAACACAACCCACTTCCATACATAAACAACCCACCTCCACCACACACACAACCCACCTCCACCACACACACAACCCACCTCCTCCATACTCTTGTCTGCCTTCCACCACGCACTACACCAAGTACACTATTGATACTACATCATCATCACTACATCAACTAACAACGTCCACTACATTATTTACACTACACTATCCATACATCACCATCACTACATCCACTACACTATCTATAGTACATCCACTACACTATCTACAGTACATCCACTACACTATCTACACAGTACATCCACTACACTATTTACAGTACATCCACTACACTCTCTACAGTACATCTACTACACTATCCACAGTACATCCACTACACTACAGTACATCCACCACACTATCTACAGTACATCTACTACACTATCCACAGTACATCCACCACACTCTACAGTACATCCACTACACTATCTACAGCACATCCATTGCACCATCTACAGCAGCACATCCACTACACCATCTACAGCACATCCACTACACCATCTACAGTACATCCACCACACCATCTACAAAAGTACATCCACCACACCATCTACACAGTACATCCACTACACTATTTACAGTACATCCACCACACCTCTACAAGTACATCTACTACACCATCCACAGTACATCCACCACACACCATTCACAGTACATCTAATACACTATCCACAGTACATCCACTACACTATCTATAGTACATCCACTACACTATCTACAGTACATCCACTACACTATCTACAGTACATCCACTACACTATTTACAGTACATCCACTACACTCTCTACAGTACATCTACTACACTATCCACAGTACATCCACTACACTACAGTACATCCACCACACTATCTACAGTACATCTACTACACTATCCACAGTACATCCACCACACTCTACAGTACATCCACTACACTATCTACAGTACATCCACTGCACTATCTACAGTACATCTACTACACTATCCACAGTACATCCACCACACTCTACAGCACATCCACTTACACTATCTACAGCACATCCACTGCACCATCTACAGTACATCCACCACACCATCTGCCAGTACATCCACTACACCATCTACAGCACATCTACTACACCATCCACAGCACATCCACCACACTCTACAGTACATCCACTACACTCCACAGTACATCTACTACACTATCCACAGTACATCCACTACACTACATCCACCACACTATCTACAGTACATCTACTACACTATCCACAGTACATCCACCACACTCTACAGTACATCCACTACACTATCTACAGTACATCCACTGCACTATCTACAGTACATCTACGACACTATCTACAGTACATCCACTGCACTATCTACAGTACATCCACTACACTATCTACAGTACATCCACTACACTATCTACAGTACATCCACTACACTATCTATAGTACATCCACTACACTATCTACAGTACATCCACTACACTATCTACAGTACATCCACTACACTATTTACAGTACATCCACTACACTATCTACAGTACATCCACTACACTATCTACAATACATCCACTACACTATTTACAGTACATCCACTACACTCTCTACAGTACATCCACTACACTATCTACAGTACATCTACTACACTCTCTACAGTACATCCACTACACTATTTACAGTACATCCACTACACTCTCTACAGTACATCCACTACACTATTTACAGTACATCCACTACACTCTCTACAGTACATCCACTACACTATCTACAGTACATCCACTACACTATCTACAGTACATCCACTATACTCTACAGTACATCCACTACACTATCTACAGTACATCCACTACACTCTCTACAGTACATCCACTACACACTCTACAGTACATCCACTACACTATCTACAGTACATCACACTATCTACAGTGCATCCACTATACTCTACATCTACACTATCTGGTATCCACTACACTCTCTACAGTACATCCACTACACTATCTACTAGTGCATCCACTACACTATTTACAGTGCATCCACTACTATCTACAATTACATCCACTACACTATCTACAATTACATCCACTACACTCTACATCTTTACACTATCTACAGGTACATCCACTACACTCTAATTGCAATCACTACACTATCACGTACATCCACTACACTCTCTAGCTACATTCACTGCACTATCTACAGGTACATCCACTACACTCTACAATTGCATCACTACACTATCTACAGTACATCCACTACACTCTCTACATTACATTCACTACACTATCTACAGTACATCCACTACACTATCTACAGTACATCCACTACACTCTCTACATTACATTCACTACACTATCTACAGTACATCCACTACACTATCTACAGTACATCCACTACACTCTCTACATTACATTCACTACACTATCTACAGTACATCCACTACACTATCTACAGTACATGTAGGTTTGTTTTAGGTTATCATATTGTAGGAAGAATATTGTGAAACTACAGCTCCTCCGCGACTTACGACGGGATTAGGGACCCAAATCCAGGTCGTAAGTCGGAAATGCTTAAATTATACACAAAATCTAAAATAGGTGTCTCTTTTTCTTCTCAGCACCACAAAACACTCACTTTTAAGCTTGCCAGCCATTTTAAAGTGAATTTTGTCTGTGTACTGACTTTGGGACTCAAAAACACGTAAGTTGACCAAATTTTGGTACAACTGAGGCAGATCTTAAGTGCGGGTGGGCGTAAGTCGAGTAGGTTGTAAGTCGGGGAGGAGATGCACTATAGTATATAACAAGATTCATGATTCTCTAGAACCTTTATATGAAGTTTTTAGGTCACTTGAAATACATAAACCAAACGAGTTCATTCTTGCTTCCAATGTTTTTTTCAGTAGCCACTGTATAAATGTTTTTAAATCTAACTTTCTTCATAAATTCATGCCACTACCTGCCGGGAATTCCCCACTGGATAATTAGTTGAACTTCCCCTCACAGCAGAAACCTAGCCACTAGAGTGCACTACAGGTATATTGGTGTTGCTACTGATAATTTGGCTTATATGTCAACATATTTTCGGATTTATTCCAGATGATGATTGATCCTCCACTGGCAATTTCATTTGGACACTGTAAGGAGGATAAGAAGAAGTGTGGGATATTGTACAGAGGATTACAAAATAGTTTGGTGGTCTGAAGATTAGAGAAAAGGGTAAATATTCGTTTAATGGCTGTGGCTCTTTTTCTTATGAGAATATATATATATATATATATATATATATATATATATATATATATATATATATATATATATATATATATATATATATATATATATATATATATATCTCTCTCTCTCTCTCTCTTATTTTTTTTTTTTTTTTTTTTTTTTTATGTGATTTACTCAAATCTGATCTTCATTTTTGGGGCAAATGAACGTTCTTTGTAAAACAAAATTGACTTGGGTATACTGTATTATGATGTACAGAACCTGTACTAGGGTTTATTAGGGTATACAGTACAGTATTAGAAAGTACTGTTGTAAGGGGGGGGTTGTTTCCCTTTACTACTCTCTTCTTATCCTTATTCTTTTTATTCTTCAATATAGTTATATACTTATATTTTTATTTCAAATATTTCTTATATTTATTCTCTTCTGTTATTATTCTTCAATACTTATATTCTTGCTTATATTTTCTAAGTCACCAATTTGTAAGAGTCCTGTTTTCCTCTGTATACTGTTTTGATCTAGTTATATTCTAAACCATGGATTAGTGTGGGAAACCATGTTATTCGTTTTATAACACTTATTATACTTACAACGGTAGCCTGCCACCACCCAGACTTTTATTAGAATATAACATATCTCATGGAACTGTTAGGTAGCCTGCTAGCGAACTTCTAGGCACGTGAGTTACTAGTTATTTTCTGAGAACCATTGTGTAGAAGGAATAGAATGGTGATACTTGTAGTTTACTAATTTAATATTTATTAACATATGGAGTGAATAAGATGTTAATTAATTACACTCAGATCAGACTGGACCGCTTTGGTTTTACTTTAAATTAATAGTAAAATAGATCAGTCTTGATTTCAACATTATACACTCATGATATTGCTTCATTGTCAATACAGATGATTACATAACACACTCGACAAAATCCAAAATTAAGGTGGTATCAAACACCTCCTGTTAGTTCGGAATGAACAACGTGGCACTTTAACTAGCATTCAATGGTAGTACACCTGGTTGGTGGACTCAACTCCTATAATCAACATATAATGAGACAAAACTCATATGAAGAGGTAAGGTAGGAGTTTATAGTAGTAGAATCGTATAGTGAGGGAAGTAGGTAGCGTGACTTGAGGGTGTGGGGGTGACTATGTATATTAACACAGGCTCAGTACAAGTGTAGTATATAAAACACAAATGCGTGTTACAGCTTTATTTTACTAGTTGCTTAGAGGGAATTAATGGGGGGATTCGTACACAGGGTATGATAGACTATGATATTTTCGTGTAACTTCACAAGTCGATCGTTGGGAGGTTCGGGATCACCGCACTTATACCGCCTACACAGCCAGCAATTACTTTTACACGTTGAGTTGACAGCACTCTGTCGATGGACCCGGCTGAGACCTCGTTACCCTTAGTGACAGACTTCTTTGATGAGCGGGACTGGGGACGTCGTTGCTGGCCCTCCTTGGTTACAAGACTCTCTCTCTCTCCGAGAGGGCTACAGGTCCTATATATATTGGAGGAAGAGCTGTGGATGACCTCTCCTACTGAAGTGGGTGTGTCTTGACCGGGTTGTTGGGTTGGGTAACAGGGGTGCTGGCTGATTAGTGGGTCCTTGATCTCCCTTGGGTTAGGTCTGGACAGCTGTTTGTCCGGGTGTGGTCATGTCGCAGGTCAGTAGTACTTCCTAATTATTACCCCCCGGGGTGTTTTGGCCAGGTGTGGTTACCTTAACACAGTTATATCGGTTATATAGTAGGGTTACTCAAGTACTTAGTGGCCGGGGTCAGGTCTCTTGGGACTGTAGGATGTGTCGACTTGGTATGTTTGTTGCCACGTGGGCCTATACTAAATGTTATATGTGTTGTAATTCTCCGATGTAATCTGTGGTCTGATAACCAATCATTACAAACAGTACCGCTGGGACACCAACATTCATGAGTTCAATACTTAACCTGGGATAACTATATTTCTGCTAGTTAATCCCCAATCATAGATACAATAATACTGTGCCCATATAAGTGTAAAGAGTGCCCCAGGGTGTAACAACAAACGAAGAACGCTGTTAAGGTTGGTTGTAGTCCAACACACGGTGAGGGGTTCGGGCCCAGGGTGCGGACTCCCACAGTTTAATCCTGCCGAATTAACGACATCGTCCAATACAGCCAGCTGCTGGGTATTCAGCTAACACACACACTGTGCCTGAGATAATGATGGAGAAGCGAAAGAGAAAATGGGAAAACAGGGGACTCGGGCGTCTTGAAAACGGATGCCTCAGAGGGGAGACTCAATAAAGAAGGCATAGCTACATGTTTTGTGGGCTATGGAGCGTAATATGAATTGTCTGATTTTACGATAACTGGCGTGTACGGCCGTGGTCATTACACTGTAATTGGGTATACTGTACTGTACAGTACAGTATTAGGATGTACTAGAGTATATTAAGAAGTACTGTACTGTGCTATTAGGACATATGATGATGTAATAGGATATAATATAAGGGTATTTTATATGTATCTGGTTGTGAAATGCAGCAAAAAAAAAATGCCAGACTCAAGCATTGCCTCCAGTGTTATAAAACAGAAGAGCAGCAGCTGAAGGCTCAGACATTGTCACCAGAAACAATCTGGTGGTGACTCATACCAGTGTGGGGGAGGGGATGTATGGGGGACGCTTTCATGGCATCCTGAACCCAGGCAACAAGAATCATCTCTTGAATTTTGACGACCTCAGATGTGTGTCGTGCCAGGTGCATAATTGTATTAATTTAAATTAAAAGACTTTCAATTCTCTCACACCAGGCAGTGTCCAAAGGAAAGGCTGCAGTGGAACACAAACTTGCCGATTTGAAGAAGATGGAGCAGAACTGCATCACCTTAGTGTCGGTGGTGGGCACTCTTGGCGGCCTCATGATACTAGCAATCCTCGCTACCCTCTGCTTCTCTGTCAGCAAGAGACACTCAGGAATCAAAAAGACTCCCGTTAGCAGAGATAACAGGAAGGTAAGGCTGGATGGTTGTATGCTCAAGTCAAGATGACTATCAAACACACACAACACCGGAAATAGTCCTCGGTAACGACTCCGAGCTTGGTAGTGGCTCTGGCCTCTTTTCATTCTCAACAACTGCCTTGTTGACTACACTCACCATATTTTGGGGGTGTGGCCATATGAGGGCTGCTACTGCCACCATTTATGAGGGCTTGAACTCCCACCATTTATGAGGGCCTCTGTGTGCCAGTAACAATTCCTTTTACTCTTATATTTATCACCATTGGTAGCGTGACGATAGGAGGCTCGTGGGTAGGTGTAATGATAGTATCAAGCAATAGGGAAGAAATAACGGTAAATACTGTAGGTAAATAATAGACACAATTATACAAATACAAAGTTTATTTAAACATGAATATGAAATTAGAAGAAATAATTGGTTTGTACTAACAGACGAAATCTAGTACTAGGCCCTCAGGCTCAACATACTCACACCACTACTGGGTGGACATATTCAATACACTTCCAACCCTACTGGGTGGACATACTCAATAGCACAACTATGATAGTCACTTAGCACCATACATACTAGGGCAACTGCCACTACAACACTCAGTCGTCAGGTGTGTTACTCAAGCAACAGCCATGGGGTCCAGCCACCATGGAGTACTATCCGACGAACTCTGGAGATCCCAGTGGATTAATTCCACCACACAAATAGCCCTACTGAGTTAGACACTCATCCACCAATGATGGGGGCTGGTAGTGGTGTGTGGCTTGGTGATCCGGCGTCACCTCGTGGACCGAGCGTTAGGGCCAGACGAGCCAGCTATGGGGGCTATAGGTAGTCTGAAGTGTCTGACGGCCGGGTCTCACGAAGGTAACAGATCCTACTTGACCTCGGACATCTCCCCAGACATTGTGGATACAACATCCACCCTACAGACACGGCCTAGGCTGCGTTAGGGACCTGTATGGATGAAGGGACGGGCACTTACTAACGGGTGACAACAACATCACGTTTCAGGGGACGTTAAAGACGTAAATATGACTTCACTCAGAGCATATCAACTACGTTACTGTAACGCTTGCACAAGCAACTATTAATTGGGTCAAATCACTTAAAGAAGGGCAAATTACAACACAGAGTGGAATGGCATACCTGTATGGATGAAGGGACGGGCACTTACTAACGGTTAAAATGCCCGCGGCGCCCTCACTCAAACTAGGCCAGGGAGTCCAGCTACTCCTATTCCGATGAATTAATTTACGGTACACTCTGACGTTGAAATTGAGACTATGAACTCATTTTCATTCTCTACTATTATCTCAACTAACAATGCTCTGACTCAGCTATCGAAAGCAAAATTAAATTGATTACAAAGGAATGGATGGCAACAGGTCCCAGCATACAGCGTCTGTTCCCATAGACAAAGGCGGGGGAAACAGAGAAAACGGGGGACGTTTCCACTGGGAGACTCGGAAGGTTTTGTGGACGTTTGAGCGTAATATGAATCCTTAAGGTTTTCAGGTTAGCTCTTATCATGACCATTACAGCCAGAGATGACATTGTTTACATGGTACACACTTCCTCCTGGATAGGAAGTTGAGGGGGTGGGGGGTATCTTGCTGTCCCATGGTTCTGTACTGATACACCTGCCTCTACTACATTCCCCCAAGTCCGTCCCAGTTTTTCACCGAATCCTCCCTCTTTGCTTCAAGAGTTATTTGTGCTGTTCTCTCTGCACTACTGTGTGATCTGCACTTATGACTATGTCTCAAAATGCTGCGTTCCCTGCCTGTCTGATAAATTCCCACTTTTCCCCCATTCTCTAATTTTATACTGTATTGAGGGGATGGGACTTATTCTCCTGCTTCTTTCCTAGCATCGTCACTTCATTGGGGGTAGTACAGTATACAGGTTCAGAGCCTCTGTACAGATATTCAGAACCTTCATCTTGTCATGTATTTTCCTACTTTCAGCTTTCTCCGACTGACTCTTAGGAACTCCAAACACAGTTGTATTGTTCCTATGCTCAAGCCGATCACAGTGTTGCCCTCTCCCATATCAGAAGGCCTACCGGTTGTAATCTTTTCAAAACTTCTGTAGAGTCCCTAGCTGCTGCAAGGCCTGTTCAGATCCTACATTTCTTTGTCACCTTCTGAGGCCCTGCTGCAACCTGAGCGTAGCTTTTCTCTACTACTCCCTCTATCCTATCGGCAACTTCTTTAATCTTAGTGCTCTAGTTTGGTAACCACTGAGAATCCAGCTTTTATTTTTTACTATAAGTTTCTATTTCCCTTATGATCCTCAATAACCTTGATGACTTTGGTTGTACATTCAGGGCAATACCAGTAGCAGCCTCTATACTTTAGCACATTCTGTAGCATTATAAAGTTGAATGAAATTAAAAACTGAATACCATGATATGAGGATGGTAGTTTGATTGATTGAATGTGATAACAGAACACACCACTGCACTAACTTAATTTAATCAGACCAAACATAGTCAAATTTACTTTTAATTTAACTAATTCCAGCTTGATTTAATCTGCATTTTATGTGACTTATCCTAATCTAAGTTTTAACTAATTTAACTTGATCTTATAAAGCTTAATTTGAATTAACCTCATCTAAGCAGTTCAAACTTAACCCCTAACATACTTTAAGGTGACCTATCCTAATCCAACTTAGCTTAACATGACTTTATGCTAACCCTAACTTACTATAATCCATCCTAATTTCACATTTACTTCAGATTACTATTAAACCTGTACAAACTCTCTTTGGATTTTTGTCTATGTTCCAACAATAATGTACATAGCTTGTAGGCATAAGTTAATCATTCTACAGTATTGTACAGGTATCTTTAAGACCCAGAAAATATTAAATTTTAATCTGTCATTAGTACAGCTCCTCTCCGACTTACGACCTACTCGACTTATGACCACCCGCACTTACGACCTGCCTCGGTTGTACCAATATTTGGTTAAATTGTGTATTTTCAAGTCCCAACGTCGGTACACAGACAAAATTTTTGTTTGTAATTCACTTTAAAATGGCTGGCAAGCTTAAAAGTGAGTTTTTTGGTGCTGAGAAGAAAAATAGACACCCATTTTAGATTTTCTATGTAATATTTAAGCATATTCGACTTACGACCATTTTGACTTAGGACCTGGATTTGGGTCCCTAACCCTGTCGTAAGTCGGGGAGGAGTTGTGTATGAAATTCTTATGTACTGCAAGTTTCCAGCCTCCTTAACACCCTCTCGGTAACACTTTTAACCTTTATTTTTTTACTTTTATCCTCTTCGCCACTGATCGGCTCGTTAGCCGCTTGGGCGATCGGTCATTCTCTGATTACTTTTCCTTTTCATTTATCCTCTTCACCAAAAGATCGGCTCGCTAGCCGCCCGGGCGATCGGTCACGTCTCTGTCACGCACTGTTGGCAAATACTGGGCATGCACCGGCTCCTGAATGTACCTGAACCCGCTCCAGTGTTGATCAAGTCTTGTCTTGAAAGAGCTCACACTCGGTGCCGTCACAACACTCTCTGGTAGATTGTTCCAAGAGTTTACAACCCTCACTCCGAAAAGTTTGCCCTCACAGTTTTCTGGACTTGCGGCTTCTTCAATCTTGAGCTGTGACCCCTTGTGGGGCGAGCGTCCGCCAGCTCCAAGTAAGGACACTCGACTGATTAGTGCCCCCTGAGATGCTTATACACCTCAACTGGGTTACCCCTTGCTCGTCTGTAATATAAGCTAGGCAAGTTCTGGCGCTCCAATCTCTCAGGGTAGCTGAGGTGCCGAAATGCAGGCACCAGTCTGGTGGTCCTCCTTTGAACATTTTCAACCAACTGACAGTCCATAGCATATCTCAGGGACCAGACTGAGTGACACTACTCCAGATGGGGAAGCACTTCACTCTTGAAGATCGTTACGAGGGACGGACCATCTAGATATCTGAACGACCTTCTTATAAGACCCAATAATTTATTTGCCTGGTTTACTTTCTTCTCACAATGGCCCGAAAACTTCAGCTCATTGTCAACATACACACCTAGGTCCTTCTCACATTCAGTCTCGACTAGTGCAGTTTCTTCATCCCGTTGGAACATATGATACGCCTCCTTACCGTTGGTACGCCCCAAGTGCATCCTCTTACACTTCGTGACATTGAATCTCAGCAGCCATTCCTTCGACCATTCCTGGAACCCACAGAGGTCCTTCTGCAGCTCTTCACAGTCAGCGTCATCGGCAAACATTTGTATGGAGGAGTGTACAATGTCAGGCATGTCATTTATGAAACAAACAAACAACAGCGGGCCCAATACACTGCCCTGTGGTACCCCACTTGTGACAGGTACGGATGACAATTTCGTGCCATTAATCACCACACACTGCTTGCGGTCATGTAGAAAGTCTTCTATCCATGCAAGGACATTTCTCCGAATTCCATACCCTTCCAGTTTGATTTTCAGCCTTTCATGGGGTACACTGTCGAAAGCCTTGGCAAAATCTAGGTAAATATTGTCGATATTACCACCCCATTCCAGAATATGGGTCCAAATATCCAATACCTTGAGCAATTGTGTTAAGCAGGAGCGCCCTGGCATAAAACCGTGTTGGCAATCCTTTACAAGATTGTTTCGCATTAGATGTTCCATTGCGGCATCTCTGATAATACTCTCAAGTACCTTACATATTATGCTGGTCAGGCTCACTGGTCTATAGTTGTTCGTGGAGTGCCGATATCCCTTCTTGAAGATAGGACTCACATAAGCCACTTTCCATTCACTGGGGACAGTGAAGTTGTTTATCATGTGTGTTATAAGAGGAAATACAACACTAGATAAGAGCATCATCCAATTCACTAACATTTGAAATATATATTTTGTCTTATTCCTTAGTACAGTTCAGTAGTGATATCCCCATTAGCCGGAATAATTAGTTCAGAGCTCTTCCGAGGATGAGAGATTTCCGGGTAATGAGATGATTCTCTCAAACCCGGAAATATTTCAGAATTTTTCCGGGTACTGGGAAAACTTTCTCGGAATTTTCCAGAAATTACGCATTACTGTATTTCATCCTAGAATTTAACTCCCAGACCCAGAAAAAACAATTAGGAAGTTTCCAGAATTTGTCAGAGCTACGCATTATTTCATCCTCTGAATTTGACCCCAGACTCAGTTTCTAGAAGTTTTCTCAGAATTTTCTGTAAAATTTGCTTGATTTTCAACCTCGAAAACTTGTTCACAGACCCGGAATTGAGAGAATTTTGTTACGGAAAAATTCTGAGTCATTTTTAATTCCGGGTACAGTTCTGTATTGGAGGGTTTCAGCTAATGGAGATATTACTTTATGAATTACTGAGACAAGTCCTTGTACCCGTCCATTGTATAGGGTATGCTGTAGCCTCCTCTTAACTTAACCCAATCTCAGTACAGTGCTGTACAAGCACCAGCAGTTCAGGATGACTGGCAGTAAGCGGTTATCTCCTTACCTTTAACAACCTGTATGGTAGCTGATTAGTGCTGGTAAATATACAGCATATATTGTAAGCTTCACTTAAAAACAACCTTCCTCTTTTAATATTGACCTCTCTTCCCAAAGAACTAACCTGGAGGGACCATCATTTCATATTTCAAGTTTTACAAGAGTAGGGCCAAAGCTGTGAGTGCAACAGATTTACATAGAGATGGTTAAACTAACAGATGCACTTTACATGATCAAACTTACAGCTCAGCATGCAGCACAAGGCTCTAGGTGACCTGTGGTGTAATGGTCAGCATGCTCACCTCGCAAGCGAGTGGACCCGGGTTCGATCCCCGGGCAGGGTGAAACTACTGTATGGGCAAGTTTTTCTATGCCATTTGCCTCTGTCTACCCAGCAGTAATGGGGAACTGGATGTTAATCGATTTGTGGATTATGTTTCGGGTTAATGGTTAGCCAGTGGAGTTGGCGAGTTGTCCACTTTTCTCGGACTATTCCTCGACAATGGGTCATGCAACTCACTAACTTAGGGTGTGGTTAATGTGTTGGTGACCGCTTATTTAGGGTGTGGTTATTGTGATGGCGACAGCTTCTACACCTTAAACAAATTGACTCCTAGGTGGCCCTAAGGCCGGCCATCCTCGTTACACGAGGGGCAACCATTATAGTGACCATGTCAAGGCCTTCACTCAGCAATCATTAACTGAGTATTATGGAAGAGTGTCCTTTAAGTTTTTACCCAATTATAATATATTGAAACACACAATTCAATATGAAGTGAGGAGGTTAATTTGATACAACACTTCTCTCCTGTCTTATAGGTTGCTGGTTCATAGTTAGGGCACCTCCAGTCCACCTAGCTGTGAATGGGTACCTAACTTACCAGTTGGGAAAGTGAAGGTGAGAGAATGCAATGCCGGACACATTGTCTTTGTGTATCAGAGGCTTAGTCTTAAGTGAGCCATCAGGCCTATGAGAGTTTTTCACTCCACATAATGAAAAATACATTTATTTTTCAAACGATGACTTTTCTATTTGAATTATTCCTCATGCAGATCAAAGTGTGTTTCTAATCAATACTTAATGACTAACCACCCAAATGGCTCTCAAGCCGATCAGTGGCAAAGAGGATAAAAGTAAAAAAGAAAATGGACCTGGTGTAAGTGTTCTTGAGTTATAGTAGCTAGGTGTTATGTAGACTGACCATTGAAACTTACCAAGCCATTGGACAGATTTATATTGAATGCTTTTGTCGACCTATTGTGATGTAGATGGATTTTTTATGTGTTAGGGATTTTTTTATTTATTTTTTGCATGTTGGAGAGGATTTTTTACATTTTGTGATGATAGTCCTTTAAGGAACTTACCAGATTTTGATTACTCTACCTTGTTATTATATGAAACGTGAGACTGTTCTCATGTATTGAATGTAAGACTCGGGGAAAATTAGACAAGCAATTTATATAATATAACTTGGTTCATTAATGTTCACAACTGAATACAAGTGACAGCATGTCACCATTACTTCACTGTTGTCTGCTAACCTCTGTAGCACTGCAGACATCACCATTGTCAGATAATCACCATCAGTCCACACTTCCTCATAGACACCATCAATATCTGTTGTGGTGTGGTGGTAAGAAGTTACAGACAGCTTCTTGGTGCTTGTAGCGGTCTTGGTGTATGGTGGGCTAGTGTAGCGACTGCATGGTGTGTTGTTGGGACTGGTAATGACTGCCCACACTCCTGGTGAAATTGGTGTTCCTCCAGTTGTCAGTTCTCCCTGCTCTCCTCTCCCCCATTCTTTATACCACACTCTGGAACAGGAGCAACCAATCAGCTGAGGTTACACATACAGTAGTAGGAACCAGTTGGAAATTTAGGTTACAATTCTGGACAGTCTCGACCCTTTATTCATTTTATGGTGAATCCTTTGAGTTTAAGTTTAAACTTTGAACCCCAAGCTCCAGTCTCGAATCCCCAAACCTCAGGAATTACAGAACCCACAACCCTTTGATACGAAGCCCCCTTATCCACAAGATCCTGAACTCATTGAATCTAGAAAATAATGTTATTTCATCACATGTTTGTTTGGGAGGATTTTTTAAGTTTGGGGGATGGCGTTTTGACGTGTGAGGGCGGGGTTTTGACGAGTGTGCAGTCATTTTTTCATGTTTTGGGATAGAGATGTTTTGTCGCAGGAGATATTAGTTAGGTATCTACAAGGTGGGGGGAATTCTTGTGGGAAATTTTGAGGGGTATTTTTCCACATATATCATGTAAATTACATTAACCTGTATATACAATATGGGAAGTATTTTTGTGTGAATACCAGTATAGAGCTGTACTGTACATTGATAAATTAAATACTCAAAGGTTTTTCATATGCATATCCTTATACAAGTGCTCCTCTACTTAAGGACGTTCAACTTACAAACTTTCGGAGATACAAACATCATCACTGATGGGGGGGGGGGGTTACCTGTCAGAACAGGTGTTTAATGTGGATGAGACTGGATTATTTTGAAGAAAATTTCAGATAGAACAAATATTGCCTAAGAACAGAAGAGTGAGCCAGGTTTTAAGGCTGTATTAAAGGGTATAGCTGTACTAAATATCCATAATATTTTCATTTTTTACAATATGTTTTGTATCTACAGAAGTAAAGTTGGACGGACAAACAAGCCTCAGGAACTAACTCGTTCGTAAGTAGAGGAGCATCTATATACAGGTGGGTGATGATTTATTCTTGTCAAAAAATTATCAATGAAGGAACTGTTTTCTCCATGTATAAACTTTGATTGATCAAACTTTCAGTAAGTTGTTAGCAGGGATGGCATAAGGATGCTATTGGAAAAAAATATTTTCTGCTTGTTGGTTATCCTTGGTCATATTGACTAAATGTCAGTTATGGATAAATAATAAATTAGATGCTTTTTCAGCAGATGCAGCTCACCAACTTACAATAGGCTAACTTAACTTACAACGTGCTTTCAGTAGTCTATGTTGAACCATATGACAGTCATCTGAGTAAAAACTCGCACAATATTCATTGACTGTCCTATGTGTTAGACTTTACCGCCATTGGTGAATAGAATTTTAGTTTTACATTTGTAAATATTATTTAAAACATATATGAACAGCAAATAAGTGTTGCTTTCATATTCATATGTAGAGAAATGACATATGTTTTCACATGTACGCACTTACTGTACATACATTGGCGTTCTCAATCGTCTCGCCTTATTTCTTTACCATTAGTGGTTAGCTACTTCTAGTGTTCCATTTATTAACATTAAATAGCATTACTTAAAACATACATACAGGTATTAAATTTTTTTAAATTAAGTTCACTACAGCCACAAGCAGGGTCTTATTTTCTTCAGTTTCTTATGTAGAACCATCGTCACTCACGAAAACAATGCTTCTACTTATTATTAATGAATTGCATTGTTCATTTCACATATATAAACGTTAATTCAATGAAATACATATTCAGTAATAAACAATAATGAATCTTTTGTACATATTCTTAAGATAAATGACTTTCCTTGGGCCCCATCCCTGCTGGGTGAGCTACCCCATTATACAAGTTCTGTATACCTTGTACTGGTGTTCCAAATATATCCCAAATCCGAGACCCCTAAATCCCCAAGCATTTTGGATAAAGGATACCTAACCTGTACTTGTGTTTATGTGCAGTTGTGTACAGTACTGTACTACAGTATTTAAAACATCAAATACACTGTACCCATTAGTTTTAATTCACATTTAAATAAATTTTTTCGAGAATATGGAGCAGCTTTATTATTTAAGCATATTATCCGTATCTTGTGTTTGGGCACAGGAGGTCATGTTGTAGATTTGGTTCAAATTCATCAGAGACGCTGTGTTGTACTGTACTGTACTGTACTGTACTGTACTGTACTGTTTTTAAATACTGATTAAGGATCTTGATTCGGAATGCAAAAATGTCACAAATTAGCGTTAATTATGACCCTTGAATTAATTAAACAAATTTACAGTATAGTGTATTTATCTAAAGGTGGACATTTATGTAAATGTGTTTGTGTGCATTTATATTTATTTAAGAGAGTTTGTTTGTACGGTACATGTATTTGTTTAAATGTGCGTGTGTGTGTGTTTTGTATAAATGTTTGACTTTTAGTGTAAAGGTGTTTGTGTTGTCATGTAAAACCATACAAGCAGTTGTGTAACACAAGGTGTAACACAACAAATCTGAAGATTAGTTATTGCTGAAACTTGTCTCAAAATTACTTAATTTGGATGATAAATAAATAATTACTTTATTTGCCTTAATGGCCACCCACTAGAGGTGGTCAGGGTGAGGAAAGGAGGCCAGTTGCTATGTAGGATCCTTCCATCGTTCTTGATAGTCTTGTCTCGGGTTATTTTTATTCTGTATGATAAGTTGCCAAGCTTAGAGTCATGTCCCATTATTTTGGTGGTGCGTGACATGGCCCAGATTCATGTTTTCCATCTTTTTCAAGAGTTTGAATGTCTATGAGTTGTGCCCTGTTGTGTCTTGTCAGATGGGTTGTTAACCCCAAGGCCCTCAATTTATTTGGATTATTAGGATGACATAATTCAAGAATCATCTTAGTCACTGTGTTCAACCTTTCTAAGGATGTTAGGGTTTTCTGGAGGTAGGGTTTCCATACCTGTACCGTGTACAGTAATCCAGACTGGGACGTACGTGATATTTGTACAATTGAAGGGTCATTTTCATGTCTTTGTTTTTGAAGGTATGCTTTATAATTCACAATTCTTGGTTGGCTTTTGTCACTGTTGCCCCCACTTAGAGCACTGCCTTCAGTGATTGATCTATCACAATACCAAGATCTTTCACTTTATTGAAAGTATCCAGGAAAGTGTTATTGACAGAATAGTGGGGATTTGGGTTGTTGTATCCTACATACAGTCTTACATTTTGCATTGTTAAAAATCTTTTACCAGTCTCAAGACCATTTGAACAGCTTTTGAGGATCTTTTTGCATGGCTGCAAATCGTCATGACTGTCACCTTCCCAAATATTTCTACGGCGAATATGTATAAAAACTTTAATGATATAAAAAATACAGTAATGTATTTTCGGAAATAAATTTTGTATATTCGTCCTGTAGCCATAGTTTTCTTATATATACTGTACCAGGAAATGTGAGGAATAATACCAACAAAACTTACTGTATTGTATTGTCAAAAAAAAGTAAATAAAAGCCAAATGAATGTTTAAAACACAGTCTCCATTTGCAGACACTCCCTGTTTCACCATAGTAACGAAGATGAGCTGGGACGCTGATTCCCTAGCAACGCGTCCCCCAACACACACACATACACACTGACCGTTTTCCCCTCACTCAGTCAGCTAACTCGTATAGAAAGAACTGTCAATTCCATTTATGTGTTTGCCCTTAGGACAATTATTTCTTTTACTTTTTTCACATTATGTATGTAGGATGGTGTGTGCGTGTGTAGTAGAGTAAAAATATATGAGGAAACTTACTTATATCTACCCGAAAATACAAGTTGAAAAACAACCATGCAACACGTCACAGCTTGGTCCAGTAGCCTGGTGGTTACAGTGATGAGTCTAACCTGGCTACAATACCAGGTTACAGATGACACTAACTAGTAGGGTGTGTCAATTTAGGGGGTGAACTGGCTAAATTGAAAATCGAGTAATTTGGTAGCAATTTATTGTAGTCTTTAAGCATGCAAAACAATATTCTGGCATAAATTTTTTTTATAATAAGTCCTACCTACATCAAATGGATTTTTAAATGTACATATTTGTGAATTTATAACATAACCAGCGTTTGCACACATGTTACTGTTTCAAGTTTCAAATTATTATATTTTATTATCCGTAGTCTATTTGAAAGTAACCAATGCCTTCATACTCTCTTTGCTTTGGTTTCTTGTCATCAGTAGTCTGCTTGCTATTTGTGCTTTGATATAACCTTCTCGCCTCTCGTGGCTGTAAACATGGCCCGCTGCTTCTGTGACCATTTTCACACATCTCTCCACACTTTGAGTGTGGGAAGGCCACTTCGGCACCTGCATTGGAGTCTCTTTAAGGTTTCTCAATTCTTGGCTAGTTAGACTTGTTGTCAATGGTGGCTCTAAGACTTCCAAACTCAAGTCAACCAATTCTGACAATTTGGTGGCATTGACGTTTATTGGGGGAACTTTTCTTGAATGAAACGAACAGTCTCCCAACTGGTCGTCATCTATTAGCGTTCCTCTAATCTTTAGAATGACTTCTACAGCCTCGGTTCGGAGATTGGTACATTGACTGCAAAGCATTGCTTGCAAAACTGCTTCTGATCGAGCATACCAAGCGGACCTTCTTGCCACAGGTAACACGATGTCCCTCACTACCTTCCTCTGTGTTCTTACTAGCTGCAATTGAAACAAAAGGTGATTGGGCCCATCCACCCACATAGGATTAAGTTTCACACTAAACCACTGGGGAAGATAAACTCCAATAATAAATTCAACAATTAACCTCAAATTCTTCAGCACTTTGCCCTTCAATTCGTGTTTGGAAATCCAAATCCTGCAGAAACGAAGAGCTGTAGTTAACCAACGGCTGTGACTGACAGGTCCAATCTCCAAGAGAGCCAATGACTGAGGCACTTCTCCTGATCTTATTGCTTGGGCAATACGATAAGCATAGGATTGATCTGTGCTGAGATCTTTGATGACTCCTTCAGACAACGCCGGAAGGGGAGGGCCAACTTCGACCTTTGGAAAGGTTGTATTTATTTCTAGTTGTGTTGCTTCATCCAGCATGATGCCAAGGGGACCTGACCACTTGTTGTTGCTCTTTGTAGGACCATCAAGTTCCTGGATGAGATGACGAAGAGGTAGCTCGCCTGTATGTAAATCACATACAATCCAAACAAGTCTTCTTCCTAGTTTTTTCTCTAAATGCGTCATTACACCCCCCTGCCATCCGGTGTTCACTGCAGTTGAATCTCCACCAACAGCCTGCAGTGAACTGCCAAGTCCTCTCTCCTGAACCCAACATAAAATATGATCAGCAATGACCTCTGCATGTTTCTTCCCTTCTACTTCAGTTTCGGGAGCAAAGTGAAACAAAAACCGACCACCAGGCTCAGAACAGACAGAGTAGTGTTCTTCTTTGATGAGACCTGGAAACTTTCTGTTCACTCCCTCTACTTCTAGCAAAACTTTTGTGTCATCTATTCTTCCATCAAACAAAAGACAGGAGAGCCCTCCCTCGCTTAAATCTTTTTCATGCTGATCAGATATTTCCTTCATTATTTTTTCTTGTGCTCTTCTAATTTTATTATGATCTATCACCAAAGATACATCCTCTCGGCTGATGAGGCCTGCATCTATCCAAGCGGCAGTTGCAATTTCTGCAGCCTCACGAAGTCCAGCATGGTGGCGAATACTAGCTAAAGCAATGTTTGAAATATTTCTTGTGTTGTATTTCATTTTCTTTGGTAAAGGTTCAGATGGCTCTTTGGAACTATCATCTGATGTTGCTTCCTGTTCATCAGAAGAACTATCAAAGAAGTGATAAACATCTTGACACAGCTCTTCCTCTCTTTGGATGGCTTCTTCACTCTTCATTTTCTTCTTTTGTTCCCTCTCTCGGATTTGTTCTCTCTTCTTGGCATTAGCAATCTGCTTCTTTGTTTCTGAATAATCTATTGAACCCATTTGCATACTTCCTTGGCCTTCTGCCTTTGTCCTCTGTGCCTTTATAAATTCAAGCTCTAAAACAGGGATCTTCTTTTCACGAGGACAACCACAATCAATGTGGGAATTATTTTCTCTCTTACCTGAGTGAGAACAGTTGGATTCAGAACATAATTGTATGGAGCACTTGCAGGTCAAAATGTCAAACAGAGTATCAAGTGTGTGCAGAAATTCATTTTTCCTGGCCAAGTTTCCTTTACCAAGTGATGTTTCAACTGCTTTGTGCCATAATTTCGTTAGTTTTAGCTCAATAGTTCGACACTGATTAATCACAGGTGGTTTGAATAGTGCATTAGCTTTTGTCCATTGATGCAGAAGAGGGACTATCATGTCATTTATGAGTTCTTTATCTGTATAGTTCCTTTTGTCCTTTGCATTTTTTTCTCGAAGGAGTAACCCTAATCTTAGCATGTCTCTCACTGTTGGAAGTTCT